TACAAAATATATACATGAAAGAGTTTATCTAACTTTCACCACAGTTTCCTATCTACTTTGCAATCCTGTCTCAAAAAAAATCCAAAGAAGCACAATTGATTTTAAAGTAGATCACCTGCCTTCTTACTGATTACAGCTGATTCACGAATACAATAGCTCAGAGGTTCAAAGACTAACCCTGAAACCACTCCCAAGAGAGTGATGCTGCTCCTTTGTAGGACCATAGTAGACCACTGCAAAGATTACAAAAATATTATTTCCAAATGAATGCTGAAGGGCTGTTGAACAGAGAAACACAAGAACCCTAGAAACAGAGAGAGTCAGAAGCGGCCTCCCGGGCCATATAGTCTGACCCCCGGCTCCAGCCAGCTCTGCTCACAACATGCCCACCATGTGCATGTCCAGCCTATCTTTGAACACCCTCACCGATGGGGCCTCAACAACCTCCCGTGGAAGCTCATTCCATACCCTCAGGGTCCTGACTGTCAGGAAGTGCTTCCTGGCATCTAAATGGAACCTTGGCTCCCTGAGCTTTGCTCCGTTGGAGCGCATCCTGTCTTCCTCTGCAGGGGGGAATAGGTCTCTACCCACCTCCGTGTGACATCCCCTCACATACCTGTATGTCGCCAACAGATCCCTTCTGAGTCTCCTCTTCTCCAGGCTGAAGAGAACCAGTTCCCTCAGTCTCGCCTCAAGAGTATCAAGGAAGCTACTACAGTGGTACCTCGGCTCACGAACGCCTCAGTTCATGACCAAATCGGGTCATGAACAAAAATTTCATAAAAATTTTGAATCAGGTCACAAACTCTGCATTGGGTGGTGACCGTGATCGCAGCCATCTCCCCCACAGCACAATCACGCCCGTCTCCCCCCCCCCACAGCATGCCCGCGTTCGTGCCTGCCCCCCTGAGCGTTCACATTCCTGCCCATCTCTCAACCCCAGGGTGCCCATGTTCATGCCTGGCTCTTCCCCCCACCCCAGTGCGCCAGGATGACGGATGCATGCCAGGATGACAGGTGCGATGCCAGTCGTGCTGGGGGCGCGGGGAGATGGCCGGGCTCGTACTTGGGGTGGTGGTGGGGGGGGGGGAGAGATGGCCACAATCATTGTTGTTCTTTGTCACTTTGCTTCTTCACATTTTTCTGATTAAAAAAAAAGGTTACAGAACAGATTAACCTCATTTACATTGAACCTTATGGGAAAATTTAACTTGGCTCACAACCAATTTGGGTCATGACCAGAGTCCTGGAATGGATTAAGTTCGTGAGCCAAGGTACCACTGTATTTTGAAATATAAGCTTTAAATAATGGATAATTTGTTTATTCTCAAGGAGGACAAATGCTAGATAGAGGAACCATTGTGTTTCAGAATGTTCAGATTTTAGAATGGGCATTTCTCCTGTCAGAAAGGTAGATTTGTTTTTTTGAAAATTCTAACAAACCAGGGAGATGGTTAGCTTACAAACTAAAGAAGGAAAGAGAAAAGAGACTAATATATAAATTGAAGGATAGAGAAGGACAACTGCAGGTACAAACTATGTTTATTAAGAAAATAGTAGAAGACTTTTTTGTAAAGCTGTACCAGAATAAAGAAATTCCAATTAAGAAAGTTAATGAGTATATTCGAAAGGGAAATCTACCAAAATTGTCGAAGAAATACCAAAAAATATTAAATGAGGAAATAACAATGACAGAAGTAACCGAGGCAATCAAGAAGCAAAAGAACAACAAAATCCCGGGCCTGGATGGGCTAACAGCAGAGTTTTATAACGCTTTTGAAGGAATCCTGTCTATGCCTTTTAAGGATATATGTAATGCGGCATTGTCAGATGCTAAAATACCAAATACCTGGACCAAAGCAAATATTACCTTAATACCAAAAGAAGATACGGACTTGACACAGATCCAGAATTATAGACCTATATCACTTTTAAATTTGGATTACAAAATCTTTGCCTCTGTAATGACAGAAAGACTGAAGAAGTGTTTAACAGACTTTATACATCCAGTTCAAAATGGCTTTTTACCTAAAAGACAAATGAGGAATAACATGAGAATTATTTTGGATATTTTAGAATATTATGAGGTTCACTCTGAAAAACCAATGGCACTATTGTTCTTGGATGCAAAGAAGGCCTTTCACAATGTTAACTGGCAATTCATGAAACAGCAACTAACACAAATGGAATTTGGCGAAAAATTTATTAATGCAATATCAAGCATTTATCAAAAACAGACTGCCAGGATTATAATTAATGGAGAACTTACAAATACTATAGATATTCAAAAGGGCACAAGGTAAGGATGTCCTTTATCACCATTGTTATTTATATTGATTTTAGAAGTGCTAAATAGAAATATTAGAGAAGATATGGATATTAAAGGTGCTAGAATTAGAGATGAAAGCTATAAACTGCAAGCATTTGCAGATGATTTAGTTTTTATTCTTGAGGAACCCTTGGTAACAATGCCTAAACTTTTATAAAAGATAGAAGAATATGGGATGAAAATAGAGAGAAGATGAAATTGTTAGGGAAAAATCTCACATTGGAGCAGAGAAAAATTCTGATGGAACAAGTAGATCTTCAAATTGTTAAAAAGGTTAAATACAGCTAAACGTACTACATTGAAAGAAGATAATTATGATAAACTATTTAAGAGCAACCTGGAAAAATGGGCTAATTTGCAACTATCGTTGGGAAGAATAGCAATAGTTAAAACGAATATATTACTAAAGCTCTTATTTTTATTCCAAACAATTCCCATAAAAATCGATAAAAAGTTATTTGATGATCTAAACACCCAAATTTTGAGATTTGTATGGAAAAAGAAGAAACCAAGGATTAAATTAAAAATGCTTCAGGAGGCCAAAGGAAATGGAGTTTAGGCCTTCCTGATTGGATGCTGTATTATCAAGCTTCTGTGGATAAAGATAAAGAATGGATAACTTTAAGAAATAAGAGAATCTTTTATCTTGAAGGGCATGATTTGCAAATGGGCTGGCTCGCTCATATGTGGTATGGGAAGTGTAAGGCACATGGTTGCTTTTTAAACCATTATATTAGAAAGTCATTAATCTCGGTTTGGGAAAAACTAAAGACAAAACTGTACTCTAAATTACCAAGATGGCTTTCGTCTATGGAAGCTCTTGTATATCCAAATGCATTGAATTTTGATACGATTGTGAGATATGATGATATTCTGGATAATGATGGAGGATTGAAACCAAACCAAGAACTACAAGAGCAGGGAATTAATATTTCTTGGTGGCATAAGGTTCAAATACAATTGAGATATGTTAAAGATTATAAAATGTGGGGTTTTTTATAAGGAGTTAACAACAGCTGACCAAGTGATCTTAAAATCAGATGAGAAAATGATTAAAAGATTGTATAATTTTCTTTTGGATAGGAGAATGGAAGATGAACAAGTTAAGGAAACTATGATAACATGGGCACAAAATTTTGGATGCAATATTGAGCTACAGAAATGGCAAAAGCTGTGGGAAAGAAATATTAAAGTAACATTAGCAACCTCATATAAAGAAATCTGTATAAAATGTTTTATAGATGGTATCTATCACCAAATAGATTAGCGAAGATGTTTCCAAATATGTCAAATGGATGTTGGAAATGCAAACATAAACCGGGTACTTGTTATCATATGTGGTGGACTTGTGATAAGGCAAAAAAAAAAAAAAAAATACTGGGTTAAAATACATAAATGACTTGAGGGAATGTTACAAAAACCTCTAATATTTAAACCTGAAGTTTTCTTATTAGACATTGTACCTGATGATGTTGATAATCAAGCAATGTATTTGATTCTACATGTAGTTACTGCGGTGAGGATTGCATTTGCCCAACATTGGAGGAGTGAAGAACCACCTAATGATGAACTGATTTTAAAAAAGATCTTGGACTGTGCCGAAATGAACTGATTTTAAAAAGGATCTTGGACTGTGCCGAAATGAACAGATTGACTTTGTCCCTGAAGCAAATCTCTTGCAAATAGTGTCAGCAATGATCAGAGTTCTAACGATAGCTGGAATAGAGCAATAAGTATGTGTGTAGGGTATGAAAGATGCTGGGTTTCCATAGGTTACCGAACCATTAGGTTAGCCTAAGGTCTCATAACAATGACTATGCCTGAGAGGAATGCTGGAGACTGACTGCTAACATGTCCTGGACTGTGATAAAATGTTGCTGCTTTGTAAGAACAGGCAGCAAAAAGCACAGATGGGATAGAGAGCATGCTCTCACAGCAGCAGAGAAGCATGATTCTGTTGTAAGGATGTTTTCTGCTGAGCCTTGTTTGAACTGTACAATCAATCTAAGAAATAAAACCCAGCTATTGGAGTGGTGTGCATACCTGGGTCCCTAAACTCTGAAATTAAATCTCCTTGGGAGCTGGCTGTCTATTGCAGTGTGTGCTATGTATGTATGATTAGAGCTTCATATAGTGATGTATAATTATAACTATTAAAGAATATTAGAACAAAGACAATTATGTGTAGTTGTGCAATTTGTATCATCCACTCTATAAGGTCTTATAAGTTAGGTTTGATCAGACTGGCATGAGGGCAAATTATGGTAAAACAGTATTAAGGAAATAACTAACTAATCACTCACATTGCCTGTAGTAATCCCATTTAAGAAAATGAGATTCGGCAAATGCAATGATTTGTGATTTATCTTCTAAAGATTGTGGGAAAGGAAGCTAACAATTAATTCTGAATATTTAGCAGTTCTATTGGTTTTAACAGGACTTACTTCCAACAAATTTATCTAGAATGCTAGATATTATACTGTTCTTCACTGGAAGTTCTAGGAGGTCACACAAAAAATAATTGAAATCTTATATACCATAATATAATTTGAAGACAGCATTTTTTCACTTTTCCAAAGATATGTAAAAGGTAGAGTGATTGTCCTGTGTTAGTAGTTACAAACCAGTCTAGATTTAGTAATCTGAAATAAGACAAACTGTTGCACTATACCTGAACAAAACTGTGGAAAAAGCAGTGACACTACCATTTCTTCTTCAAAACACCTGTTAAAGACATAAGAGTGTTGCATCTGGTCAATCTACATGGGCCTCATTTTACATTCAAAGACCCTGACTGTAGATTAGCTAAAGGACTGCTTTCTCTCTGAAACTCCTCAGGGGTCTTTTTGTACCTCATGGACTTCCAGAGCCATATCTGTATTCCAAAGGTATACAGGGTGCTGTTTCATTCTAAGTGTTTGACAGAAAATACTGTGTAAAATGGCTTTCCAGTTTGTCAGCCGTAAGGTAAAGAAGCAATGGAATTCAAGAACTTTTAAAATTCATAACAGAGGACAAACAGCTTAGCGGCTGGGTGAACTGTATATACACTCAAACACATCATAACCAAGTTCTAGCTGGATAGAGGAGAAAACTCACCTCCCAATGAGCAGCTTCTACATATTATAGACCTAGAACTCCACAGTGGTTAAGCTAGTGAGAAGGGGATCTTTAAGGGGAAAAGTTACTGGCACCCTGCTTTTATCCTCCTCAAGTCATCTCTACATCCCCCTCTGATGGCCTTAGACACATACCGAAATATGCAGTTCTCATTCACACAGAAAAACCAGAAGTCAGACTGTTAATCTCCACAGCTCTATGGCTCCTGCTTGCTCTTCCTTCCAGCAAGTCAGGCTAAGCAATATATTATCACATCCCAGCCCAGAACTTTGACACCTGCAGGGCACCTAAATGGCTTCTCATAATGAAGTTTCACAAACAGAAGATGATAGATAACTTGTGTCTAAAAGCACAGGCTAAAAGGCCAGCAACTGCTTGTCAACAGCTCAGTGAGCTAAATTATTACAATATCATCTGGAAAAATATTTTTTTACATAGGGAAAATACTTTAGACTTTATCTTTAATACTCTTTTTAGGAATAATTGTGGAAATCCTTCTTTCTCATATTTATAACATGTTTATTCAGCAGTTAAGTCCCAATGTCTAAGGAAGAAGTCAGACATAATATTTTAAGAGTGATGAAAATGGTCTAAACATATCTCTAAAGTCCTGGAAACAGTCTTACATTCTTCCAATTTGGAACAAGCTCTGGAAAAACTAGTTCTACATGTTTCCATCATGTCAAGGAAAACTGGGGTATTGGACTCGCTTTGGCAATTGCCATGTTGCCATCATCTGCTACTTTCCCTCCAGTTCCCTGTGGGAGAATAAAATAAATGATATCCATATAATCGTGCTGGGACAAAATGCAAGAAAAAAATAGCACGTCTTTCCATGTAAATGCATTTTTAATTGAAATTAAAGTTAAATAGTAATTGGAACTCTACATACTTGATCAGTGTTTGTTTCAACTAATTTTTAGTGCAAAGTAAAAAAGCCAAAGAGCTTCTTTTATCACATCTAATACAATAATATGCCTTCTGACTTTTTTTCATTACTTAAGATCAGGATATTCAACACATGGCATATTCTCTGCTCCAACTCCATTTTATTGGTTTCCATTGATGAGTGATGGTGGACATGATGGCAGAGAAGTAACACATGCTGGGGCAAATAAGCAAAGAACGAATAAATAAAACAATAACTTCATGTATAAACTGATGGGATCTAAACTGGCAGTAAAAGAGATCTTGAGACTGTGGTGAGTAGCTCGGTTAAACTATCCACCTAGTGCATGGCTGCTGCAAAATGACAAACTCTGTGTTAGGCATAATTAGGAAAGGCATTGAAAATAGAGCCATCAATGTCATAGTGATATAAAGATCTATGGTGTGACCACTGTTAGAATATTGTGATATGGTTACTGCATCTGAAAGAGATATTGTATAGTTGGAAATAGTGCATGAAAGAGCAACTAAGATGTTCAAGGAGCTGAAGCAATTCCTCTGTGAAGAATGGTTGCAACAGTTGACAATGTTTAGCTTGAGCAAATAAGGAACTGTACAAAATCATGCATGATGTGGAGAAAGTGGATAGGGTGGGATTTTTGCTCACTCTTCCATAATACTCAATCCCAGGACCATCCCATGAGACTGATTGGTGAGAGATTCAAGACAGATAAATGGGAGTACTTATTGATAAAGCACATAGTAAAACTATAGAATTCACTTGCACAAAATATAGTAATACGCACCAATTTGGATGGCTGTGAAAATAAACTGGACAATTTTATGGAGAAGGGTATCAAGAGCTACTAGTTCTGAAGGCTATATGTGATCTTCAGTAGCAGAGACAATATGCCCATGTGCACGAGTTGTCAGGGAACATGGACAAGAGGCTCTTGTTCCTTCTCTATATTCTCCTTCTGAGATCCTGTGAGCAGTTGTTTGACCACTGTGTAAACAGAGTGCTGGACTAGATGGACCCTTGGTCTGACCCAGCGTGCCTCTTCTAATGTCTTTTACTTTGTGCTCATCCACCTTTGTACACATGAAGATGACCCTGCTTCAGTGATTTGAAGGCAGATGGGGAAGACCTGTTAATTCAGATATGCTAGTTAAATGGGCAATATCCAATGCTGGAAAACCAATATAGGCTAGAATTGACATGAGGAGGAAGGGAGTTGAACCTCTTTCAGCCCAAAGACAACTTCCTTTTTGGAAAATCTGTCAGGGTCTATATTCTAGTGGTGGGAAGCCTGAAGGCAACAAGAGTGGGTCCCAAAACTACTACCATATATTAGTTAGTTCAAGTTTAGTTTAGCCCTTACTGCTGGTAACTAAGTTTAGGAGAACCATTTCAACTTTTTTGAATGGGAAAGAACTGAACAAAAGCCTGGAAACCATCAAATAGCTCATGATGAGGAGAGGGAGGATGAGACCATGTGGGGAATCCTGAAGGACCAGGCTAGGACGCTAGTAAGGCATGATTTGGCTCCTGGGCCACCCCTGTGCTAGAGGTTGTAGATGCTAGTCTTTTTAATCAACAAACAAACATCAGTTCCAGTTGGGTCCATAATTCAGTAGATGCCATATGATCCCTCCACCTTGCTCTACGCAGAGTAATGGACCACCAAATTCTGGACCTGTTTCAGCTTCTACTTTTTTCAAGGGAGCCTGGTCTCTCACTCTGTACAATAATCCAACAGTTATCATGGAATGTATCATAGTATTTATTCATTTTGACACCAGGACAAAACCTTTTTATTTACCCAGTTTTTAAATTGCTAATTGGCATTTTAATTATTTTATATCAGATACTGGCACTAGAGAGTTTTTAATTGTTTTATTGTTGACTTAATTGTTTTTAATTCTTTTTGCGTAAACTGTCATGAGATTTTTAATGAATGCCACTACAGAAAATTGTAAATAAATAAAATCTGAGTACAATCATAATATTCATAAATTCTAATAATAATCACAATAATAATAAATTCTATAATTCATAAAGGCAGCTGGAGAGGGCCAACTAGTTCAACTTCCTGTTTATTACAGCAATCATAGAACAAGAGCATCCCCATGCAGAGGTAGTGAGCTTTAGCTATTGGATAGCACAGAAATATAAGAAACAGAAATAAGCAAGATGAAATGTGGAGATGGAATTCTGCTTTAAGATCTCCAGCATCATAATTGGTTTAGCTGTCAAACTACTTACTATTAAGAAGTTCCTCCTCATATTCAACAGAAATCTATGCTCCTGTAATTGTTCTGATTATATCATAAGACAATAAGTGACTAGGCCTGGCTTGATCTGTCTTATGAGACAGTTTCCAGGGCATTTATTTTCTAGCTTTGTGGCTTCTCAGTTAATACAGGTTTTGCAGTTTTTCTTTACAATAGTTTGAAAAATCTAATAGTTTTAAGATGATCTCAAAGTAGCTTACACAGAACAAAATCCCCATTTAATCTCTGCATATTAAGATATTTTTCATTTGAACAATGCATTTTATACTCTATTTTCCCATAAACATTTTTTGTTCTTCTCAGTGCAAAGCTCCAAAACAAATTGATACAGATTTATAAGCACTTGCTGTTCATAACTTGTGGCATATGCAAGAATATAGTAAATGATATAATTGGCATTTTGTAACTCATCAAAATCAAACCTCAGAATACTAAAAATACATGGCATTATTTCTATCTTCCTAGAGAACATGGACCTGACTGCAAACATTAAATTTTTGACAAATTATTGGGTTGACTACTGCAGTGTGTTGCATGACTTTGTCCAGAAATTACAGCTGAGTGACTGTGAGAAATGCTACCACATGTACTCAGTTCCCAGACAAAGGTCATCAAGTTGCTCAGTGCAAACTTCAGGGCACACACGCACACATTTAGGTATATACACCTTTGCAAATACTTATTTTAATTATGTGTAGCGATTAATAAATATAATTAACCAACAATTATTTACTGCACAAAAAATTAATATCTAGAAATGTCATTATATTGGGATAGTTCCTAATTTGTGAACTATTGGAATTCTGTATCTTGATAACATTCCTTAGAAAACAAATAGTTGATCTTTATTTTGGACTTTGATATTCCAACACATAATATACATCCTATGTTTCTGGAAGTTCCCTTGTTCTAATGACCTTAATTTTTCCATAAGCCATGTCCCAGACTCTGAGCAGGTATTCCATCAAAGAGGGAAGATTTTTAGCTATTGGTTAAACAGTTGGTTGTTCATGAGTGAACCATCACTTCAATGTCTTCTGAAAGAGTGGTGCTTTTAATGTGACAAAACAGTATTGACATTGGATCCATTGGCTTTCTGACCTTTGAACCTATTTAACCTGATGGCACATGATTTTTGGAAACAGAAGAATACCAGTCTGAACTACCCTGCAGAAAACATGTGAGAAAAATTACTGTTCTGCACAATATATATCAACATACTTAATTCTTCATGGCTGCAGTGTCTTCGAACATTATTTTCACATGGAGAGCTGTATATGTTTGTGTTCCAGTGACTAGACATACCTCACATTTTGTGACATAGTGTTTGGATTTAAGAGCATGAACTTTAAGCTAACAATTTTCACTCATATAGAATCTATATTTCATAACAACATAACTTTTCACAAACATAAAGACTC